ATCTGTGTATGTCTATAAAGTCATCAGGTAGATTTCAATGGTAATATTTATAACCTCTACTAATTAATATGACATAAATTTTTATGCTTCCTCCTCAAATATAATTCATTTTTAAAAATTTGTTGATTTTTTTGTGTGTATATCACACAGAACATCCCAAACCATCTTAAGAATTCATCTATACACTCACTTCTCAGATGGCACCCTCCCATAGCCTCCGCCCCCAACTAGAGCCCATATACTCTGTCATCCCTGATACTGTCTACTGTGTTGTAGTCACCCCCAGCCATTCCCCACTGCTTGTCTATTCGGTGAATCTAGTCAGCCTATCTAGAGGTCGTTTTAGGAAGGTCAGCTGTTCCTCATCTAGCACCAATCAGTTGTCATTATTCCTTTAGATAAGATTTGGGTCTGCTGTTCATTTTCCCAGTTCTATGCTGGGTTACTATCTGGGAGTCCCTTTGGCAACCTGGCCAACAACTCAAAAGAAGGTATCTCCTATCTGGCATTGTTGCTTGTTATGTAGTCTTTAGCTATGCATGTGGACTCTTATGAAGTTATGTTGGCCCATTTAATCTTTGGTTATACTTTCCTTTTGGGTGTTTAAGGCCGTACAGTTGGTCCAGATAAACCAATTTATTTTCATTCTTAAGGCCGTTTGAAGATCTGTTCCTCAGGGGTCACATGGGCTTGGGAGGAGCCCCTGGCTCCTTTCTTTTACCAGTTCCGCCTATGTGAAGATAAGTCAAAGGTCCTACTCGATCATGGCTGGAAGCATGGAGGAAATGTTTCCTCTATGTAGACCCTCCTCTTTGTAGACTGGACACTGGTTCAAGTCCATCTGGTGGGGTCTCCTCAGACTCCTTGATCAAGAGGGCAGGTGACTCACCACAATTACAGAACATTTTGAAAGATGCTCACAGTCCCCTGGAACTAGTCAACCTAGGAGGACAAGGAGCAAAAACTGTCCTTTATGTCCCTCTGACCAAATTAGTATAGGCCTCAAAGTATGTCTGTTAAACATCTAAGAAGGTTAGTTCCACCAGTCTGGTACTTTTCATTACTGTGTGCCATGTAGATAAATTTTGGGGAAAGACCAATTGTTCTCAGATAAACCTTGCCTAGATGTATATTTCTCAATCTGGTATGCATAATTTGTCAGTAGGTTGTTGGACTAATATGGTTCCCTCTGGTTTTTAAAACTACCTAGGCATTATTTATCTCTCGCATTGTCTAACCCCTCCATCATGTTTTCCCCATTTCTTTTAAAAAATATTTATTTATTGCATATTTCTCTTTTTCTCTGTGTGTGTCTGTCTCTCTCTCTCTGTCTCTGTCTCTCTGTATGTGTATGTATGTATGTATGTATGTATGTATGTATGTATGTATGTACCAAAGCATGCATGTGGAAGTCAGAGGACAATTTGTGGGTGGCAGTTCTCTCCTTCAACTATGTAGGTTTCTGGGATTGATTTCATGCCACCAGATCTGACAGAAAGCACCTTTACCTGCTGAGCCATCTTCTTGGCCCTTAAGTTATTTCTTAATACAGAAACTTCTGTATTTAGAAATTTATCTATCTACCTAAAAATTAAGTCAGTATTAAACACCCATCTTGTTAGTCTCTACCCCTTTTTAAAAAGTCCTTATCCTTAAGAAATTCAGAGTCTGGCAAAGAAAGGAATACATGAAAACAAATGATTATAACAGGTCCTAGATTGTGTAAGGTAGAGACAGAGGCAAGGGAGAGAAGTTAGTGGTGGTAGAACATTGGCTAGAAAAGGCTCCATGAACAGGGTGGCAGTTGAGCTGAGCCTTATATAATGCATGAGAGCCCTTTTATGACTTTAGAATGCATGTGACTTTGTACTCAAACGCATGAGCATGTGTGTGGGTGTGCACATGTGTGAATGTGCACCGGCACAGCTAGATAGGCAGGTAGCCAGTGGCCTCTAGTCCCACAAACCATGCAGGTCTAGGGCTTGGTAGGGCAGACATCTCATGGGTATTAGGGATCCACTTGAGAATAGACTGATGGAATGAAATTTGCCAATATATGATCTCCATTTCTGGAATCAATTATTTTCCTGGGTGTGTTTTATTCTTGTTTTCTTTATAGTACAATGGATTTTTGTGGTGAGAATGGTATCTCAAACTTAATTCTCTGTGTTCTGGTTTGGGAAGTGCCCACTGAAAGATGCAGAGAGGGATATAGAGAGCTTTGAAGGTTGGCAGCAGGCATTCCATGAGGGCATTTTCCCAGCCAGCTGGCCAAGTATGGCCACACATTGGGTGGTGAGGAGTCCTTACCACTTCAGTTGGTCGGTAGTATTTCAGATCCACAGTCACGTGAACTTTGCCGGTCTCTTTACATTTGCCCACTTCATTTTCATTCTTTCCTTCCCACCTGCAAAGAAGATAAACAATCAAATCTTAATTGCTTGGAAGCATGTGACCATGCTGTGGTGATCAGATGGTGCTCCTATCCTCTCCCTGCAGGAGGGCATAAGCACATTAGCAGCAGGGCAGGCTGGCCCTAAACATCATTCTTAGAGCAACTGTTGCTTCAAAACTTTCTATATTTATTTGAAAGGAAGTTTACCCCCTATCTTTTAAAGGAAACCATGATGAATTCAGAAATGAGACTTTAGACATAAACAGATTAGTAAAAGAAGGGAGGATCTCAACGACTTTTTGTCTGTACTTTTGAAGATCATTCTTCATAGCCAACTATTATGAATTAATTACTGTCATTTATCACCCTCTTTCTTTATTTTTCTTTTCTTTTGCATTTTTGGCACATTTAGTATCAGTTCAACGCATCCTATTTGGGCATAAGTTCCATACTGCTCAGTTCATTCCTGCATTGTATAATATGCTGTGCTCTCCCCATCAGCAATAGGTCTCATTATTATATCACAGATGATTAAACTTCTCCAAAGTGCATACTATATCGTTCATTCCTGCTCTCTACCACAATCTCCTCTGACTTGACTGGGATGTTAGTAAACTTGAATTTGCCTCACTAAACATCTGCAGTTACAACAGTACAGATCCACTGTGACCCCTCAGGGGCATACTGCGCAGGATGCACATGCTCCTAAGCTTCAGACTCAGCTTCTCATGGGAACTATACTTCTTTGCTCCATGTTTTCATTTTTCATAAATGAAGCAACTAGAGTTGGGCCTGGTGGCACACATCTGGAATCTCAGCTACTTGGGAGGCTGAGGCCTGAATTGGGAAGATCTTAAGTTCAAGAGCAATACAGTGACCCCATCTCTAAAAAGAAAAGAAAGGAAAAGAAAGTCATCGGTTTAACATTGACCTTTGGATTTCTATAACCTAATATCCCAACAGAATATACTATGTAGTTTGAGTTATTTTTACAATGAAATTTTTTGGCAAGGAAAGATTTGAAATAGTCTAACTTGTGTTTGACTTCAGTGCTTATCCTTAAAATGAGCTTGCTTTATCAGCTGGGGATGAATTCCAAGAACACAGGGCAATTCTGTTGTTCAGATCATTCACAGAGGGGATCAAAGGCAAGAACAGAACATTCAACTATTTATTTGACTATGTGAGTCATAGGCGCATTGGAAAGTGAACATTAAATACTGTTATTTTTAATAGGTTATATTTCAAGACAGGTTGAATACTAGAGATGCAAACTGGTCTCACAAACTTTATTTCTGATTATCTGAATATTTTGTCAAGTCACTTCTTGGAAGTGGAGGGGAACTATTTCCTTGCTGGAGGAAATGTTTGGTTTGCTGAATTTCCCAAAGGACTAGAGGCAGATATGAAAAACATCCACAACACAGAGAATAATAATAGCACAATATGTTGAACTATATAAACTGTATAACCAGTTATTTCCCCATGAATTTTATATTGAATAACTAAAAAAGAGGTGTCTGGTAATCTACTTATTGGGTTTAATGTCTGAATGTTGAGTAGATCAGTTTGACAAGTAATATAGAACTAATTTCAAAGCAATAGGACCAAGTTCAGAAAATTCACTTTGAGATGGTATGTGGATGCTTTGACTGAAAAGCCAATGAGATAACCTGAAGTAATGGTAATCCTCATGGTCTCTCATGCATAAAGGCCACACTTTGGCTACCACGAAAGAGAACTGGTTGTCATAATTTTGGGGAAAAACTGAATCTAATTCTAAAATTAATTGTTTTAACCTTGTCGTTGGTTAGACTTCAATAGATGAAAGGACATATTTATTTTGTAGGCATCTTTGAACTGTATATTTGTCCACATTTCCTACTTCACAAAAGCACAATTTCTTTTTTACAGGCTGGCCTTGAACTCACAGAGATCCACCTCTGCCTCTCGGGTGCTAGGATTAAAGGCATGGGCCACCACGCCTGGCTTTTTAAGTTTTTTTTAAAATATATTTTATTTATTATTTTTATTTGATGTGTATGAGTGTATTGCCTGCATGTATGTGAGTGCACCCATGTTGTGCAATGCCGCCGAAGTCAGAAGAGGGCTTCAGATTCCCCTAGAACTGGAGTTAAGGATGGTTCGTAGCTGCCATGTGGGTGCTGGGAATCGAATCCTGGTCCTCTGCAAGAGCAGTCAGTGCTCTTAACCGCTGAGCCATCTCTCCAGCCCCCATAATTTCTTTTTAAAAAAAATTTCTTGAGAATTTCATACAGGGATATAAGCATATAAGGTGTTTTGATCAAATCCATGCCCACTCCCTCCCCTCCAACTCCTCCCAAATCTCATCACTTTTTTTCTGATAACTTCATATACTCTTCTTTTTCTTTTTTCTTTTTTTAATGGGCCTTTTTGCTACTTTAACATTCCCTCCTCTGAAGAGGTAGTACTAAAATCTTTTAAGGATTAGATAAGAGCTCCTGAATACTTTCGACATTTTTGGCCTTCGGAATGGAGTATGTTCCTAAGAGGCCCAAAGACATTTTGACTTTTAGCCAAGAAGCTGGCTACTTTTCTTTGGGGTCTTTTTACACTAATTGCCTAGCCAACTCCTACCTCCCATTCTTATCACACCATCCTCTGAAGAGGTTACCCAGCTTGGGGATAGGGAAGTGGGACGCAGACTGCTCTGGCTTCTTCTAGGCAGGGTGAGGCAATTGGAGTACCCCTTCAATGGGTGTATCTAAAAGACTCCCAAATTGCCTAACTCTTATCACCACATGGAGGCAGGATCTGGGCACTCTCAGGCAGTCCCATGGTTCTCAGCCCCTATGCCAGAGGGAGGCCTCCAAAAGCAAAATTTCAACAGATATCTCCATGACAACATCTCCAGAGAAGCCAAAGGGTTAACAAAAACATTCACAATTTTGTTATTCTTTCTCTTTGTAGCTAAGTATTTAATCTATGGTAGGCAAACTGACTTATGTACACAAATATGTCTCACCATACTTCATACTCCTGAGATGACACAAACTTGAGGATCAATGATTCACATGAGCTTTACATGGAGCCTGATAGTACACAGCTGTGTAGTGCAATGTGTGTGTACACACACACACACACACACACACACACACACACATTTAAGCTCATAAAGCCTTGGTAAGGACTTGGAGAGATTTCCATTCAGGTTACAGAAAGGAATGAGGCCAGCCAGGAGTCTTCAGACCAAAAAATTTCAAGGGTGTTTGTGAAGAGCCAGAGAATAATAGTCTAACACTGTGAATCACATCCACATGCTACATTCTTCCTTTCTAGACTTCCTTCTTCTTTTGTTCCATCCCCTCAATCTCTTTCATCCTCATTAACTTTTTCTCTATAAGCCACCCTTTGAATCTGTAAAAACTATCCTTTCCTTAGGGATAATAAAAAGCAGGCCATAGCTGGGCTTTGGGATGCAGGCCAGAGCTGTCCTGTTGCTTTAGTAGATGTAGCTATGGGCATTTTTTCAGTCAGCAAAGGAATAGCTTTTCTTTCTTTTTTTTTTTTTTTAACATTTATTTACTTACTTTCTGTAAATAAATAAACTTTACTTTCAGGTCTTTATTTCTTCAAGAATAGCTTTTCTTTCTTTTCTTTTTTAACATTTATTTATTTACTTTCTGTATATATGGGGGTGGGGTTAATGCACATGTGTGGCAGTCAGGACAACTTTGCAGAGTCAGTTCCTTCCTTCCACCATGTGGATGGAATTCTGGGAATTGAACTCAGATCATCAGGCTTGGAGGCAAGTGTCCTTACCTGCTGAGCCATCTTGCTTCCCAGCATTTCATTCTTGTTTACAGCAATAGGCCAGGTCACCTGAAATTGAGGTCTACTTCTATTTCTCTGTGGTGGATTTGCTATCATAGAAAATATTTGGGATTTTTTAACACTAGTTCAAGTGGGAAAAGACTGAAGGAAGCCTACACTCTGCTTCAGGGCCTTATTAAATGCAAGCTGAAAGGCAGACTTGGAGTTAATGCTATTTTGGCACTTTCAGGTCTAAGCATCCAATACACCTTTTTAGTTGCTGTCTGAACACAGTCTGTTTGGCTTCCGTCTTGCAAACTTTTGACTACAGTCAAAACAGTGTTGTCCTCCATAATTGATGCCATACAGAATAATCAAATGAAACCATGAAATGGGTCACAGCAGAACTAAGTTCAAAGAAACTACCTTCTCACTTATAGATCTGCATGAAGACAGTAAGCAAAAGTTTTGGCCAAAAGCCAAAAAACATTCAGTTAAAATGCAAGAAACACTTGTGTTAACACGTAAATGGTAACAGCTAACTTGTTCCAACAAGCAAGGCTATAACTCAAAGCAGAGCTTCAGTGTCAACGAAATGACCATGGCCTGACAGGGAGTAGAAAATTCAGCTAATTAACAGAAATTACCTATGTACTAATTTAGATTTGCAGCTCCTCAGGCAGGAATCCTGTTTAATTCAATTTTAAAAATAAATAATTCCTAATAAGCATTATAAATAAACAAAAAGCACTGAAAAATAAAAAAAGATTAACCCACAATAAAGCAAGATGAGGTCCTATTAAAATCTATTCAATTAACATTTTCTTCAGTGGTGTAGCCACTGGTAGGGTGCCCATTCTTCTGTAAAAATCTGTAAGCAACTCTAATGAAAATCACCCGGTCACATACACAGAAACAGAAAGAGAGACTAGATGGGAAGAGGAAGGGGATCAGTGGCTCATTGTCAGGGACAAGCGATGGTGATGAGGGCAAATATGACCAAAATACACTAGATATGTATGAAAATGCCATACTGAAGCCCATTATTATGTAATTATATATAATGCTAAAAATAAACACTAAAATAAATCTAATAAAATATAGGGCTAGATATGTGGCTCAGTGATAAGACATTTGCCTTACATGTGCAAAGTCCTGGAATTCATCTCCATCACAAGGAAAAAAAAAATCTACTCAACCAGGAGTTCCTTTGAAGC